CCTATTGGCTTTCTTCTTTCCCAATAGTAACAGGTCACAAGTAATAATGACATATTCTATCAGGTAACTCGTTCAATATAGGGTTACTTCTTTACCACACTGACACGCAGGAAATTTGGAGAGTACGAAAAAAGAATATGAGTTGCGAGAGGTGCAACAGAAAGCAACTCTACAGTAGCTTCTTGAGTTCTTCTCTCTAGCTCATTTAGAGCTCTCCAAACTTCCCCAAGTGCATCTTAACTCGATGGTGCACCATTAACAACATGAATCAACTGTTTTATAACATTGCCAACAGAAATGAATTTCTCTGTCAAAGCAAAGTTAACTCTGCTCACTCCATGAGCATCTTTCACTGAACCATGCGATTGTGATCCACACTTAAAATGAGTTTGATGGTGCGGTTTTGCTGCCTATGTGACAATAATTATTACTATTTTCCTGCAGGTTCTACTTTTCAAGAATGGTCAACCAATTCTTAGAGTTGAACGAGGGACTACATTGAGTGTCATCAAATTGCTTTATCAAGCTGATCCCCGAAATAAAGGCACAGTTATTGCACTAAGGCCAGATACAGATGACCCTTTACCTTGTGTTTTGACACTCGATCAGTCTCCGCTTGAAGAGGCAAAATATGAAATAATCACTCATGGTGAATACACTTTATCATTTATTTGGTCATGAAACCTTCTAAACAGTAAATCTAGCCTGATGTTTATTTTGATTACAAACTAGTTTGAAAATAACTTGGCTGTCTTGTAGAGATCACTCAAAGCTTGACTTGTTTTTGTTAGGGCATTTACAGAATATAGAGATTAACAACTGTTATCCAATAGTAAAGCTTTCTTAAATGCTCTAGAGGCCAAATGTATCAATAACTTAAGAGCTTGGTGACTGGCTTTTGCTCTGCATGACAGAGTGCATGTTTTGATGCCGACATGTTTGGCATTTGTCCATGGACTAGGATAAACTATCTGAAATTTAAAACTACTGTACTTTTGTACTACTGTACACTGGCTTTTAGTTATTGATACTGTTTTGTTGACACCTAAATTAGTCATTGGCAACTTACATTGCTTAGTATCCTGAACTTTGTAAATGAAAATTACAATATTTAGTGAGGAAGCCACATCAGCCTTAGGTGGTTTTCATGCAGGTCCTGTATCCTGGATCTAAATCAATGTTACTTTCACTCCCTAACTAGAACCTTCAAGAAATTCAACTCAACCAGCCGCCAGGGAAGCAACAAACAGCACACTATTTTCTGATGGAAAATGTTCAAACTTGACAAGGTTACCCTTTTCAAAAATGCCAGTTGATCCGTCTCAAGGGACATCATTAGCTGAAGCACAAGTGGCACAACCTGTCAATCATGGAACACCTCTCACAGTTAGCATCTCGCCCGAAGGTAACACTAAAACCTCTGCAAATCACAGAGATAACAGCAGCAGTTCACTACTGTTAGCTAGAAGGGATGAAAGCCATTTCCCTTCTCGCTCAAGCATTCTTTCCATATCACGTCGCAAGAAGACAGTTCGAAAATCAGTCATTCCTCGAAAGATGTCTCCCAGCTCTAGTCCCGGTCTTGGTCTCAACGGTAAAGTTATACATGGAACGCACCTTCAGCAAGGAGAAGTAGGTCTCCCTGCAAGACACTCGGAAACTATCGGCTCACCAGGCTTATGTGACAGCACAGAAAACGGAAGCCTGAGGCCCTCTATGGAAGATACTGGAGAGGACATGGAAGTGGTCACCCAACACAGAGAGAACCATGGCAGTGATGCTGTGGCAGCATTTTCAGTAGAGGATTCAATAAGTTATGCTAATTTTCCCACCCTAGAAAGTTCTTCAACAAATGGTTCAAGTCCTGCCATCAGCGAGGGACATCCAGCTCTTATAGACATCCACAGTGACTCAAGGGAGACGAGTGGTGGAGAGAATGACTCAGATACGAACTTTGTTAGTTCAGAGAACAGTCCTCCTCAGAACCATCCAGTTATGGCCCAAGGCTCACATAGAAACAATAGACAAGGTTCAGTTGTGGACAGTGAAGAAACACAGTGTTCTCGTACACAAGCACCAATAGTAGTCTTACAGAACACAGTTCAGGTCAAAACAGAACCTAATGAAGTTGTTCCCTTGTCAAACAATCTCTCACCTGAACAAAATAGCAAAGAGTACCATTCACGTTCAGGTGTCAGTTCTGAAAGAGAAGGTAGAGACGAGATTTCAACTGTGGAGGGATTTTCACTTGGTCAGCAGAATGTCATGCCAACAAGCTTACAGAAAGGCCATGCCAATTCACAGGAAATACATCCGGGCTCCTCTCAGATGCCGCGAGTTGTTAATGTTGTTGGTGCTTCTCAGGATCATGATAACCAAATGGAAACTTCTCATCAACTTCACTCTGGTACGCACTACATGGATTTGAAGGAGTACAGCTGTGACATATGTCACAAGCAGTTTGACTCTGCAAACTCTGTACTACGTCATAAACGCTCACACACTGGAGATCGACCCTACATCTGCAAAATTTGTGGATGGGGCTTCAACTTGAGTGGCAACTTAAACCAGCATTTAGCAATTCATCAAAAGGTCAAGCCTTTCAAGTGTGTCTACTGTGGGAAGACTTTTGCACGCTCCAATGTGCTGAAGGCACATGTCCGCTGCCACACTGGCGAGCGACCATTTCAATGCCAACTTTGTGGCAGTAAATTTATCATTGGTCATAATTTAAAGAAGCATATGGTGACACGGCATGGCATTAAGGAAGATGATAAAATGTTCTCACAAAATGATGCCCCCGATGACAATGGAAGGTCCCATGATGATAACATATTCCCACAAAATAATAGCTCTCATGAAAATGGCAGGTATCAACATAACGATAAGGATGAAAATTTAAGTATGTCGCAATCATAAATGACTTTTGCTACATAATATATAACTACTATATTTTGCCCAGGCATGCTTAGCTCAGTAAACAGAACTATTGACAAAAGATTTTTAAACAAAAAATGTGTTGTAAAGGCTCGAGATTAATACCCTGCAGGTAGGTACTAGAAACTTATATTGTACTGTTTTAGGTTTTGGTTATGTTTAGTTTCTACTGTGATCTGCTCAAAAGGTCTCTGGAAAATTATGGAGTTGTACTGCTTTACTGATAAAGCAGAACCAATTAAGACAAACCTATTTAGACTGTAAACTTATTTTAATCCAGAATGTTTACTAGAAAGCTGAAAGGCTCCTTAAACTTCCAAATTTTACAGATTTAATACCACTAGGTAAAATTTCCACAATAATTAAGGTATAATTTTGCCTTAATTTACTGTCAAGTTTATTTTCAGGTCTACATTAGCTACATCACAATAACAGTGAAATAGATATATTGTGACGGTTTAATTTGCATATTAAGAAAATTATTGCATTTAAGCTGAACTTTCTCTAGTCCTTTAACTTCCAAGACTGAAATTACAAATACTTTTAATGAAAACATCTTCTGTACCACATGAAAATACCACTCATAAGCCTTCCAGTGAATAGGCCATATTCGTGTCCTCAGTACTGGACTCAACTTGAACTAGTTTGTGATGGAGGCTTACTCAGGGTAGTAGCATTTGCATTTGAAGGGGTACATGGAATAAACCCCCAAGCGACTTTTGGAAAATTTTGAGTTAGTTAAGATTGAAATACCTCCCAGGAATTTTTTATAGTTTACTCTGGTATTCATCATTGTCTTAAAAGAACTAGTAAGAAGAACTAGTTCTTCTTACTAGTTCAAAGTAAAATGTGAAAATTGCTTGAAGGTAATTCAATCCTAGCTAACTCAAAATTTTCCAAAAGTCACTTAGAGCTTTATTCCACAAACCCTTCCATCTGAAAAGTTTCCCGGCATTAGCCTCAGTTGCAAGCTAGTTCCTGTCTAATGCTGCAAATACAAATATGGCCTATAAGTCACAGTAGAATTTCACTTCAAGACCCTAATGGAGTGAAAGTATGTCTAAGATAGGAAGAGGCTCATTTTGAGCCATGCTTAGCGAAATATTTTTCTGAAGTACTCTGTCAATATCATTCGGTGAAAAATACAGTTAATTTAGTAAGGCATAAATAAAGGTGTAATATATATTTTGTCATATTTTTAACTACGTGAAGTAAGTTTACTCCTTATCTGTATGATAATTATTCTAATAAAAATAATTTTTAAAGAAGTTAATAAGCAGGACATTTTCCGTATTATTTAGTATTTATATTTGCTCGAAGTTGAGAACATCAAATAGTATTAAATGTAAAATTATTTTATTTTCATGCAACATCAATTTTTTAACTTATTTTTAACAAAAGCAAGCAGTATAAAAGGGCACCTTTCTTGGCAATAGAACATGTGTTATTAATATAAGTCATTATATTACAGGAAACATAAAAATACGGTATTTATCCCAATAACAAGCATTAAATGATCTTTATTGACTCATACTTAGATTAATTGCAGGAGAAGTATTATATTGATTACAGGTTGATTAGAGAAAATAATAAGGAAAGTAATTGAAGCCCAGCTGATAAAGTAACTGCAACATTCTTTCAAGTTAGCTCCTGATAATGATTTAGAGTTAGTTTCATTGAAAAAACAGCAGCAAGGAAGAAAATGGAGAATTAAAATCTTAAAAATCTATGCTAATTAAGATCAGATATCCAAACACTGTCACAGTCATGATTTCCTTTGTTTAAACTTAATGAATTATTAATGAGTTTTAGAAAGTTGAAGAAGATGTTAAAAGAATGAAAAAACAAAAACAAAAACAAAACATGTTAATAGAAAGTGAGATGCTTTGGTAAAAGGTGCTATCCCTTTTATACTGCATGATTACAAGTTTGAATCATTATTAAAATATTCTTTTGTCGTCATTCTTCTTCAGAGTTAATTATTTACTTGGAAAAAATCTAAAGTTGTGGTTTGTATTGAACTTATCTTGGTTGTACTGTTGTTATTAACAATATGCAACAATACTTATACAATACTGATTTTAAAATTTTTCAAAGAACTCGAGAACCAACAAGATTTAGTTTGCAGTACGTAGTAACAAAATTAATAGTATTGATATGGTAAGAAATAGACAAATGTTCAATTTGAATAAAACAAGTGATGTTTTGGAGAAAAAGAGGTGCTCTCCCCTGTGGGAACTCTCACCAGCCATAGGTGCCTGATAATGAGTGTTTCAAGGGATGAAGGCTTTTATTTCTCCTAGAAGCAAATCCTTACTCAGAACCCAGGATGGGGAGTCCCATATGAAAAGGTCGGGGATGCTTGTTGTCTTGCTTAGGGGTATAAATCAAGGATTCTGGTCTCACTTACGCTGTTCATGTCGAAACATTTCTATGTTTAGCTCACAGAGTATCTTTTAGGACGAACTCGGAAAAATAATAATACAAGGCATGCTCTTTTTTCCATTTTTAGGCTCAATTTCTCCCGGTCTCTCGAGTCTGGTTTACTAGCACAGGCTCCTTTCCTGAACAGCGGCCCTTAATTAAGTCTATTCCGTTTTAAGAGGTATCTTTTAGGAGTCAAATAAAGCTCCAGCCGCACCTGGATTGGTCTCTTTTAGGGGTTTAATTCAAATTTTCCAATGAGC